AGCTTCAGCACAGTGAATGTTTCAGTGACAGCATAAAACATTCGTTAGTTCTGGTTTGTGAGAGTAGGTGAGAGGAGCAATCTTTCTTCATTGGTAACCTAGGTGTTATATGTCTGTTTGTAAATACCTGTTTTAAAAGGCTATCTTTGAAGGCTGACGTAATTTTTTTAGTGCTCAGGAAAAGTGGTCCTTAAGTCCTTATTTGCAAGAGCCACTTGGGTCACAGTTTACTCAGCTAAGGTTACATGAGTCTTCAGAGGCCCCAATTAAGGTTGATTCAGTGAATCAATAGGTTCAGCCAAACAAACCATCAGATCAAGGCACCAGGTAATCAAACTGAACAAGACTTATATTCAACTGACACCATGTTTTGGAAAATATCAAAAAAAATACAGTTCTGAGACTGACAGGCATTYAGTACCTCTGTGACCTTGACAAATCAATTTACCTCACTGCCCAAGTTTATCTATAAATGGACATATCACTTACATTTGGGCTGCCTAAAGGTTAGATTAGTAATGTTTTACACAAAATTCTTTAAAGCTATGGTATGTTACCTGTATTTATGTTAGAATTACTGATTTTTTAGTAGGTTCCAAAACCGTGACCCTTTTTTCAAACTCAGAGGATTAGCAGTGCCTGCTTTAAGGAAGAAGCAATGACAAAATTAATCAGCCTTGAACTGTGATGTATCTACAGAAACTGAGTGGAATAGGTGGGAAGAGACTCACAATACCTGTCACTTCATATGGATAACACGTATTTACAGCTGAATAGTGAAWTAGAATCAAGTCCCAATTTTACTGGGACAAACCTGAATGAGAACATACTAAGTTTAAACTTGACAGATGTGCTGCTCTCCTTCTGTCTAAAAGTGGAGTACAAGATTTCTGGATATTTTGTAGACAACACAGACTTTTAAGGCTGGACTGACCCCAAGTTTGTATGCAGCAGTGGTTAGAAGTCAAACTGTGCTGCTGGGGTTCATCCTGCTGACAGCCCATCTTGAATTACCCACTGTCATAATTCTGATGTGACTCTGTATTAAGAATGCTATACTAGTAAAGTAGCTCAGGGAAATGACAGGACCAGTTCTAGGAGGTTACCATATGGGCAGAAATTTTTTATTTTTGTGTAAAACTCCAGAGTTTTAATTAAGAATGTGTTATTGAACTCTGTAACAGTTTGAACTTTGTTTTGTTTGTTTATAGCTGGGCAGCACTATAAACTTGTCAAAATTGCTAAGATAAAACTGCAAATAGAACTGATGAACCTTTGTATTATAAGGATAAAATTAGTAAGGTAGAACCACTCTAACAAAATGATTCTCTGCTGTGTTTGCTTTGTTTCTCTAAGATTTCCTGTTTTGTAAAATAATACAATGTTGAAAATCTAAAATATTAAATTTCTTTGGCAGCTTTCTTTGTCAATGCCAAACAATAATTAATCCATAATCCCCTGTGAACTCGACTGTTAATTGGATACATCTATAATACTCATTTTAGAGAAATTCCTTTCAGTCTTTTATCAGAAGGGAAGTAAAAACCTATGTTTTGTTTAGTAAATCGGCTATTCATCACTAATGAAAAGAAAAATAGACCATTGAATCCCATGCTCCCATACACAGCCTGTGCAAAAGATAGGGAGTGTCAAAAGCACTGAGCAACAAATACAATCACATTAAAAAACGAAGTCCTTATTTTTGTTCTAAAAATTGATYGAAACACTTATTGTTAAGTCTGAGGGATTAATAGCTATGGAAACAAAATGGATTCATCTAGTGGAGCTGATACAGTTTGGGTAAATGACAGTGCAAATTAACCTCAGATCTGCAGTCTTCTAGAAGTGAGCATGTCTGTCTGAGCAATCCCGTTAAAGTCACCATAAAGCAATAAGGCCTACCCAGTGCAAACCAAACAAAAGGTAACATTGTAGTATTGCAGCAGTCACAGTAGAGCTTTCAGAAAGCCACACGTCACCAGTTTATTTGTGTACTTGGAACCTTAACCCTGTCAGCTAGCCAGRGCTCGAGATCAGATGTGGCAAGTATTATCTGGGAGGAAACTGGTCCACACTTAGTGGCGCAGTTTACTCTATGTGRTAATTTTTAAATCACCACCACTGGSAAAGGAAAACCAGTCTTGTTGGGCAGCTGTCGTTCTCTTCAACTTCCAGTGGCAATGGCGGTACCATTCATTTACACTTACAGCAACTTAACTGTGTGTACAGCTCATGAAAATGTCTGGTAACGCGAATCAGTTATGAAGCAGAAATTTCACAAACATGGAAAAAAAACTATTTTTGGTTTCTGACAAGTCACGTACAGTTAGTCACAGAAAATAGACAGCTGAATCTACCAGTCAGCTACTCTACAGCAAGTAAGCAAGTACGACTGTCGGCACAGGATGGCCCAGCCAACYACTCTCGGTCTTCAGCTTTCTGTAGTAAATGCATCCTGAAACTGTTTCACAGAGCTATTCCAAGGCCATTACGTAGCCTGGCAATAAGTTTTTCAGATCTTCTTTAAAGTATGTTTGACCGATGTGTGCTAGAAAATTAATGCTATATTATGCTTTTTGTCCATCCATATCAAGCACCCTATTATTTTATTCCACAGTTTTAAGCAAATAAAATAGTTGCAACGATTTCCCTTCTATAATCCATGCTACAATTAACCTGTTCCATCGGCCTGATGCTTTATGTCAGGCTCTTTTTTTGCACTGCCTTGCAGTAATTATTAGAATCTTTAATGCTCCATGAAAAGTAATGCGTTCAGTCATTTTGCAAGCAGCAAAATGTTCCCTTTTTAGGGGATGTAACCTGACTTGTCACCACAATCTTATCACTACAACCATTGTTAAGTCCTTGTGAATATGATCTTTGGCCAAATATAAATACATAAATGCCTTAGATCATGATTTCCTGGCCTGGTCCATTCACCTTGCGTTCTGGGACAAAAGRCATTGCCTACTGTGCGTCATACGGTCAGTATTTAGCTCTGTTACACACCGTGGATAAAGCAACTTTAGATGCCATAAGATACAAAATACCAAATCTCAAATGTAGTTATTTAGAGTACGGTACAGCCAGGCTGAGGATATATTTAAAACAGTTGTTTTCTATTTCAGTGATGTCATTGCTGAATTTATTCCTGCCTATGAAACCTACAGCACCTTAAGATCATTTAAAAGGTATTGTAATTGTTGACATTTGAGACCCAGCACAAGCAGCMATGTTGTCTCCATGTGTCTTGCATGCCTGTGAACACCAACCATTATGCACACACTGTAGCACTGAAAATACCTCCTCCTGAAGGTTTCCTAGTGTCTTGCTACTTGTGGGTGGTGCCCCACAACAGGGCCAGTCCCGCTGGGCTAGGGAGCGTCTCCGGAGCGGGCCTGTCCCTGGTGCTGAAGGAGCCAAATGAGGGTGCGTGCTGCCTACCTGCCCGCCCGCCTGCTGCAGAGGCAGGGACCCCGGGCTGCTCCGGACCATGGCCTGACTCCCACGCCAGCACGAGCCACACAAGCAGATCTCATCTCCACACCTCTCTCTGCAAGGTGTGGACGCAACCGAGCAAAGTTCAAGGCCACTCCTGCCTTGGGCTCGGCTCTTACACTTAGCCCTGCTGTGCTGTATTTTCACTCCTGCACGTAACCCACACAGCTCAGCTCAGCTCAGGCACTGAGCTGGCTCATGTGGTGCAGGACTTGCAGGGACGGGAACAGTATTTCACCTCAACAATTTTTTAAAACAGCAGCTCTGTCTCCATGCTAAGGGAATAGCTGCTGTACTGGAGCATTTATTTTGGTTCATCAGGAACAAGTGATTTAACAAGTGACTTACTTAGCACTGTTGAATGGAGCAATGCTTGTAGCAGCGGGATTCGTGACACAGATCAGCAGACATACAAAGTTATCCAAAGGAAAGATATAAGACAAGAGAAAGCACAAAAATGATCCYCAAGTTTCACGTTGCAAACAATCTGTTCAGAATGATTTTTCACTTATGCTTTTTTTTCTCTTTTTTTTTGACATTTGTCTTGCACACCACCTTTTACACCTTACTCCACCAAAGGCTGTGACAAACATAGCGAGCGAGTAGGTGTATCACTCGCTCATGTCTCCCCCATCCCTTTTCRGGCAAATTCACCCTTTTTCAACTCCCCTATTTTTCCCATCCTAGCAATGTARAATGCTTTAAGAACTTTACACCTGTGTAGTGCATAAATGTGTGCTCCCACATACAGACATATAAATAAACTGTTTGKGGCCCAAACGGCGACGTCGCGTGGAACCTCACGGGAGACGTCGCCACTAAAAGCGACCCACGCGCCGCAGCGCCTGCCCCCTCCCGCGCGCCTTCCAGAACCTTCCGGGAAGCCCCGCCCCGCCCCGCCTCGCCTCGCTCCGCCCCATGGYGGCGGCTCTGCGCGCGTGCCGCTGCGCGGACCCCGGGGAAAGGGAAAGGAAAGGGAAAAGGAAAATCGAAATCATGYGCAGGTGTTTTAAAGCGATGGGGCGTCGGCCTGCCACACCTGCTGCACGGTTATAACGGCTAACGGYCTCGGGGGAGGGCTGCTAGCCTGCCATACTTGCTGCGGGTAACGGTTATAACTGTTAACGGTCCCCGAGGGTTGTCGGCCTGCCACACCCGCCGCACATAACGGTGATAACYGCGAACGGTCCCGGGGGGAGCCCGCGCGCTCCTGCGCCTGGCGGGGGCGCTGCCGCTTTAACGGCTCCACCTTAGCGGCGGCGCCTCCTCCGCTCGGGGCGAGGGCGGCGGCGGTGCCGGGGAGGCGGAGCCCGCGCCGGGGCAGCGCCGCGCGGGCCGCGCCGGGGCTGCCGCCGCCGCACGGTAAAGCGGGGGTCCMGGCGGGAGGAGGGGGCAAAGCTGCTGCCGCGCCCCGGCCTTGCGGCGCCCGCAGCTCCTGGTGGGCCGCCCGCCGCCGCGTAGGGCAAGGCGGCCTCGCGTCCGCGGGTGAGGGCGCCGGAGGGAGCGCGGCACCGGGCAAGGTTTCCCTCGCCTCAAAGCACTTGTGCAAATGACGGCTGTAGAAGGGGAGCCATATGCTGCCTATAAACGCATCCCCGAGGGATTAAAGGCTCTCCCTAGTTGAACAYGTTAACTAGTAAAGCCTTTCCAGGGAAGGTAGAGACTAGTAGGTGAGTGATGTGCTTGAAATCTGACTTTGGGGGAGCTGCTCAATTTAATCTTAACTTGTGGCTACTTGGAGTGTGAGCGTTTTCCTGGGAGCATGCTGCTACCTCGCAGGGGTGTAACAGTCTGTGAGGAGTCTGTGCAGTGGGGGATAAAGCTGAGGCTCCCACTGCGTGGCGGGGCTCAGGGGTCCTTTTGTTGCCCTGGCCCCCAGCTTGCAAAATGGTACCCAAATCCTGGTCCAGGTGGATGGAGCTTCGGAAGATGAGCATCTGGGCTCTTTAGCTGTGTTTCCTGTAGTCTTAATTGCTGTTTGTTTTTCCCCTCTTAGTCACAGAACAGTCAATTGAGATTGCAGGCAACAAGGCGCAAAGTGAAGCAGCCGCAGGGTTGCTGATTTGTACTATAGGTGGAAAAGCATGAAGGCAGAAGTGGCAAAGCCCTTTGCAGCCTTCTGTTTCTGGTTCAGATATGACCATCTGCATTAGAAGCTGAGCCTTGTGTTTTAATCCAGTCTCTGCTGTTCACTCCTTTGCTGACCTGAAGCTGATAATCTGTTATGACCAACCTGTGTAAGAAAAGGATGACAATGTTTACCTAAACAACAGATGTTTGGAGTTTTCTATCTTTAAATAAATGCATAGGTAAATGTATATAAAAATAAAAAATCTGTTGGAAGTGCCCCAGAAATGCTAAGTGTTATATGCTGTAGTTGAGATGTTTTTAAAAGCAATAACTGAGACCTTAGTAAGGTGAGACCTCAGTAACACATACCTAAGTCTTTTTGTAATACAGGCTGGAAGAAACCTTTGTAAAAGGGCAGGTGGCACTTGTTTTTCCCCTCCCTCAATAGCCAGTCTTTCCACAGGTGTGTCTTGCAGTGTAGCATAGGTTTCAAAGTCTTTGTGCCTCACATATGAGGTAGCTACACTGTGCTGTACCTGTCTACTATAGTAATGAAATGAGAACTGTGGCATTAAAAGCATACCAGTTAGGAGGGGGAAAAAATCTAAAACATGACTCTTCTGCAATAGTGAAGGATCTAAAGGTGAGAGTAAACAAAATAGTGTGAGGCTGTAAGGTGATACTGACTGTACCAAAAAGTCAAGCAGAAAACTGAGCTGTGTTTTTTGAAGACATCGTATCGCAGCAAGAGGGAGGGAGATCACATTCCATCATTATATCACACTAACATGTATCTCCAGGAATCGTATATTCTGTTGGGACCCTCAAACTGCATTACTAGAAAGATATCAACAAAGCAGATCTTGGTGATGCCAAAGGTGAAAGAAAACTTAATTCCTTCAGAAAGATCCAAGTACAGGACTTAAGATAACTGGACAAAGAGGCATCTAAGAGGAATTCAAGAATATAAAGTTCTGAAAGAAAGGGTATGCGTTAAGTGGGTGAAACAAACTGTGAGGAAGTACGAGTAGGAATAACTCAACTTAGTCCAGAATTCAGCAGGGAAGGAAAGGAGATAGCATTGAGCTTTCTTGCCCTGTAAAATAGTCTTGTTGTGGAAGCAATATTCAAAATCTGCTGGGGAAAAATCTTTGCTCTCAGTAGTTATTTTTACCTACAGTTTGATATTCATGAAGATATGACTTGTGAAGTAAAAGGCTTTTTCCTCTCTAGTGGCTCTTAGTGAAGTTCTTTAGTACTGATTAGCCCATAGATAGTAAGTACATGCTATTCTGTCCTATGGATAACTTGTAAGATCAGCGCCTAGATATATCTATTGTATCCCTGCTGTTACATGTGGAGCACAATTAGCCTTGAGCTAACCACAAATTTGGAATAATCTAGGATTGCATATTCAAACTATCTGGCTTAAAACATGAWTTTATTTTCTTCATTTTAGTGTATATGTGGATAGGTTCTTTGCACGTATTCCCAATGTATCCCCCTTGCCTGTCTGCTTTTCTGAATGAGTGCAAATAATCTTAGTTGGTGCAATTTAGGAATTAATGCAATAAAGCAGATGTTTTTGTTCTAAAGCTGAATGTTATCTTGTACTGCTGCTCCTCAAGAGGTAGCAGAGAGGCAGTAGTGAGGGAGACTGAGGCAGAAGATCCTAGTGTTTTTAACATTTTTTTTATAAAGAGATTTATATTGTTTATTGAAGAACAAGGTCTATCACAGATCAGAAGCCAATAAATTGTCAAGGAATCTACTTCTGAATTCCTCAGTGTTACAAATGATGCAGCTTTGTTACTGCAGTAAAAGTAGCAGATTCTCTTAGAAGCAAAGCTAGCATTGCAGCTGCAGTAGAGCTGGGGAGTAACACGGTCAGCTGAATGGAACAACTGCATTTCCAGGGCTTGTGTCCTCCATCTAAATTTAGTGTTGACTCCAGTGCATTTTATTTCATTCACTTCATGATGTGCACTTCCAAGCATGCAGTTGTAGCTTTCCTGAAGCTTTTTTTGTTATAACACGATAGGATGGTCTCCCATCACGTGTGAATTGTTTCCTATAGCCTAGTGTGTGTGATGTAGCTGTGGAAGTGTGGCTCAGCTGCAGCTCGGAGCTGCCCGCTGCAGATGGGAGCTCTCCTCAGCTCATTAGGCCAGCTGGTGCCTAGGGCCTGTTGTGCTCAGGACCTGACCAGCTTTATCACATCTGTACCCATCAGTCAGCCGGGGACAAGTCGGGGGGACATTGGGAGCTCTGGACACTTCCACATTTTGATATCTGAAGAGAAGATGCCACCCTACTCCTGGTAATTTTTTTTAATTAAATGTCACCTCTTATGCCACTAATCTCTTCTGACTCAGCGTAGCTTCTCTCTGAAGGGAAGGAACTAGAGTAATGTCACCAATGTTGAATAAACTGCAGAACATAGGCAAGAAGCTACCCCAAGAGAAACTAAATACTGTTGTCTGAGCAAACAAACAAAACTTTTGCAAGACTATTTTATTATGCTAAGAAGCATAAAGCAGCTAAAGTCTAAATTAAACATTGCTAACTTCTGGGAACAGAAGGATTATATGTAAGCATGCAGTTTATTTCTTCCTTAGCTTTCCCATGAGGTTTTGGTGGGCTTGTGCTGATAGTTATGATAGCACTGTACCCGCTGCACCAATCCACCTCTCTCTACTTGCTCTAGGTATCTGGCACAGGCTTTTTAAAGAGCATCTGTGTGTCTCACTGATCTGCCTTTGAAAACGGCAGGTTTTCTGGGTGGATCTCGCATCTGTTCAAGAGACTCCCAGTTGTAGGAGTCTGCAGAAGGCAAGTGGGGCCTGTGCTCTAAGTACGCCTGGCAAATGGAGCTGTGGCTGCAGTGTGAGCTTTTGTGCTGGTTAGAATTCACTGTTATTAGTCACAGCATTTACTTGGAAGAGAGTATATAGGTGATTAATGATGATGGGAGAGATGTGAAACTGTGAAGATAAAGATGAAGGAAATACATGAGGAAGCAGACTTGAAAGGTCTAGAAAATGAGAATTCTGGTAGTGATGATGATGTGYGCACATGTAAGAGCTGTGCCTGTTTGGTCATCTTGTGTTGAGAGGGTATATTGGCCAGGACACTGGCATTCTCTACACTTTTTTTTTTTTTTAAAAGAAAGTTTCAAGCTGTGCCAGAATTCATGTGGATACTGGCAAAAACCAAGGAGGAGGAGCAAGTGAGCTCAGTTTGGTATTTCATACAGATGCTAATGCCCCTTCTGAGAGTATCACTGTAGTTTCATAACATACCTTTCAGCCTGAATGAGCTCATGCACCCTTTCAGGTATCATGGGCAGATAAATGAATGCAATGTTATGTATGTGAAAGTAAGGCAAAAGCACGCAATCTGTTTTAAACATCTCTTGGTGCTTGGCTGTGTTCAGCTTTTTGTCTGTGCTATCTAAACTCTTGCTATTTAAATTCTTACAGATTTAGATATAGGAAGGTAATTTAGATGGACCTCACAGTTCATAAAAATGTAGCCTATCTTCTGATTCTTTTTGTCCACACGTCTGTCTTGGCTRGTAAATCAATAACTAACCTGGTTTCTCTTGCCTTTTCTTCTTTTTCTTTTTTTTCTATGCTCCTCAATCTTTGAAACAGTGTCAAGGCAGAGCAATAGAAAACAGCAATGAATTCTAGGAAGAGAAAAGGAACCACGCAGTGGGAATTTACCTCTGATCTTTTGTGTATATGCAGGTGCCCTTTAAAAAAAGAGATCCAATATTAGATTTAGAAAGAGGCTTGCTGGAAAAAAATGGGCAGTCCTGAGCAGTTCTATGGGTTCCTATAGATATAGTTAAAAAATGCTGTCAAATGTAGGTGCATCATGGAGATATTTGCAAAACAGTAGCACTCTTTTCTGTTTCAAGCTCTGTTTTTTCATTTGCTTTGTTTTTGGCTTGGGCCAGTTCTACAGTTTCAGCCCAACTTTTATTCAAATGTTCAGTTATGTTGTTTAATTTGGGATTCTGTCTAAAAACATTGTCAGTTCTTTTTAATCTAGTGTCAATGCAGAATATGATGATTTGCTTGTATAAATAGCTCTTTGGCTGCCATAAGTATTAAACAAAAGCTTTTATTGTTTCATGACTTTGAAAATTTATTAACTGTCTCCTTCGATAAAAGCTGGGACTCTTAATGCTTGTTCTCAAGTTCTACCATCAGTTGTGTATATTCATAGCTCTGCCAACCTCGCCTCCCTTGTCCTCTGTATTTTAGTTACTTCCAGCTTAAGGCAAAACTGCTGTTCAGCACTACTAAACTTGGGCTGGGAAATTTTATGGAACTTCAAATACAAATGGAATAGAACCTATCAAATATCTCAGAAATAAATTAGGCAAACAATGAGCTCCTTGGCAACTTAGTCCTTTGCTTAACTGTCATGCCATCAAGAGACTTGTATTAAAATAATATCTGAGTATATGATGTATGCGATGACATAAGGTATGTGATATAACTAAGCTTTTGCCACAGAAATCATTTGCTGATTCTGACTGAGAAATAACTTAGACCTCTACTGCATTTCAAGAGAATAAATTTTGGTTTTCTCTCGAGAAAGTGAAGGCTATGTAACAGAGCCAGAACTGTATCTGTGATGGTAATTGCATATAGTGCGGATTTTTTCATTTTAATAGACCAATGCAAAGCCAGCTRAACACTTTTTTGTAATGTATGGAAAGATTTACGTAAAAAGCACCTGTTTGCAGTCGATTATATATCACTGTGTACTAAGTATATGTTCTGAAGCTTAAGTTGCTTTGTAGCTGTTAACAGATTAGTAATAATATTCACTTGTATAGGATTATTTTTTCCCCCAAAATATATTTTGCTCATAAAGTAATTGAGCATGAAGGGGTCTTGAGAAGCCTAGAAAGATCTGTCCCCCCCTCCCTGGGGGCTATATTAGACCTCTGAGTCATGAAGTCTTTGCATAGTAGGTGTCTGGTTACAAACCTTTTATGGGYCCTACTCAGCTGGGATATCAGCATCTGCATTATAGCTTCCATCTATTCTTAGGTGGTATCCCAGCACGACTGAACAGGCAAGGCAAGAAGAGAATATACTTTTCTTGTAGAAAACCGTTTCCTCTTTTCATTCTGTTTCTTTTCACACTTGCTTTGTCTACTCCATCCTTCTGTTCTGCAGTGCCTTGTCATCGGCTGGTGAAGGAGGTACAAAATGGCTTACAACGTGACTCTGAATGGACCGGGACCATGGGGTTTTCGACTGCAGGGCGGCAAGGACTTCAACATGCCCTTGACCATCTCCAGAGTAAGTGAGCAGGAAGCTTTATCAAGTTTGTATAGGTTGGGAAGTAACGTACAGTAAGTACACTCTGATGTAGGCAAGCAAAACAGAGGATTTCTGCAGCTAGATCAGGGTAAAAGGAATATACTGTAGGCTTTATACGTACCAGTTCAGGGCACAGCCTATCATTGGTAAWACCACAGGAAAACAATTGTGGATTATGTGTTTTTAAGAGTGATGATACTGTCTCTCTTTAATGAGCTTGCAGCTCTGTTTAGATTGTGCTGTATCTTTTCTGTTGTCAGGGACCGCTCTGGTCCTGTCTATATGGAGCTCTGGAGGAAGGGAATAGGAGAACCACAAATAATGAAATAAAATTTTTATCACTACTATAAATCTATATATTTATATAGCAGTATATAACTGCTTCTAAATGTATGAAGTCTGTACAGGATAAAGGCATATATTTCCCCCCTTTTCTGGGAGGTACAAGAAACCGGTACAAATTAGACATGTCAAGCAGAATACTCAATAATGCTGAAACTACTGTCTTAAATAATGCATAAGACTTCCATTTGTCTGATTGATGAACAGTGTTTGATTTAATAATTAACCAKTGTATCTGTGTTTTTTTTTCCATAGCCATCTCTTTTCCCTTCTATAAGAGGAATAACTTAAGGCATTTCAGTCAGGTGCCGTTAGAACCTTAACTATATCTTTCTTTAAAAGCTTCTAACTCTGAATGGTCCTCAAGTGCAAAAGTTTCCCAGTCTTCTTCTGCTCTTATGAAACTAGATAGCTTTGTGTCACTTCTGGTTTGGAAACTCTGCTTTCCAGTATCTCTCAGCAGCTTCTTTTGGCTTTTTTGGCAGTTCGAGCTTTAATTCAGAATGTTCAGACGTTTTAGAGAAGTACTGGTTGCTCCACAAATCACCTGCATAAGGCTTATCAGTTTGCACTGCAGTGATGAGCGAGGTTACTTGCGTAGCAGTCTTTAAAAGGAATACCAGAATGATTGAATCGGATAAACAGATTGCAAAAAGAAACTACTGCACTGCAAAAAATAAAGGACTACTTTGAAACATTTCTTAATGAAAAATAGTCTGTTAAATTATGATATCGAGTTGATATTCCTGGCACAACTATGAATCAAGACAGACAAGCTTCTGAAATTTTACCTATCCTGTTTCATATTGAAACTGTAAAGCTCTGTCTTATATACTCTCCTTTATTCCTGCATGTAATGTTCCTTTCTCTCCAGAGATGTATTTGTGGTAATAGTTGTGTGGTGAGAGGACTTTTTCATGATCCCTTTTGCAAGAGAGGTATTTGTGCCATTGGAGTGGCAAAGAAGGGTGTTCTGTCAGTCTTGCAAATAATRACTGCTTACAGAAATCACTTCCATAAATTTATGCAAACTTGAGCATGGTAAACACTTCTGGTATTTTATTCCTTACTCCACTGAAGGTATTTGCAGGCATACTCATGACATTTTTAGCACCCTGCTCTGTGAAGTGTTGAGATTTTAAAAGTAATTCATCATGCCTGGAGGCCACCTGTCAAAGACTGTGGCTATGACACTTGCACTGTATGACACAATGAAAAGTCAATTGTTTCCCMAAGAGTCCATAGTCTTAGGTGGTGGTCTCGTAAGGGAGACTTACTCCTATCCAAAGGTTGTGTGATTCTCGTGGGACTGCTTAGGGCATGTGATGAGCTGGAGTAAATCTCTGTGGTRGCTGGATTCCAGAGGCAGAGAGAAATTACCATTTTGCACAGCTGGCTGCATTCCTGGCAATAGAAGTGTCAGAAAGTACTGTTAAATGCTTTGAAAGATTCCCCACTGAGGCCCTGTTTTGGGCTGTGAACATTGCTTTAGGGTTTGGAAGCCTACTTAAGGGAAGAAGCAGACATGCAGAAAGGAGCATGCTGTCTCTTGGGGAAAGGTGGACTAGGAATGTCTGCTATTTGTGATATTTTTACTAGTTAAGAGTTTAATGCATTATTTCTGGTAATAATGTCTATTTCTAATCTATCTTCCTGCACATACATGTATCTAAAACTATCAGAGATTCCTGTTATGAGCAGTTTGCAGACAAGTGAGGTGGGCTATGAACCCGAATGTCATTGCGGTCTTGCCAAAAGGAGAAGGGAAGMCTACTTATTTGCTTTTTTTCCTCAAGGATATCTTGAGAGTATAAACTGTGAGAACTGTTCCTTTTCTTGGGCAGAGCATGCAGTTCTGCATGTTCTCAGCAGGTACTGCACACATCTGTGGACTAGTTTTGATCTACACTCCCACTGAGATGGGACCAGACTTGCAGTATGTAGAACAGTGGTACTTAAAATGCAACCTTTTCGACTGAAAGGACCACATGGTTGCTTTTAGTACCTGATGTGGCATGACCTCTTTGCTTCYTCATGTTTAGTTTTTCACTACACAGGCAGATAGACTTTACCTATGGGTACACACATTATACTCTAGCAGCTTCCAAACAGATGATCTGTGGAGTGCCACTGAAAATAGAAGATTCACCTTCTTTTATGGAGACTCTTTCTTCTGTTAATGCTGCAGGTCATATAGTGACAGCAGCCTCTGTGCTCCTAGGAAAGATGACAGCATTTACTACGCCAGGTTTGTTCATCCCATCTATAGTTTTACCTATGTATGTTCAAGAGACTTYCTGAAAGGAAAGGCTGATGTTGGTGTTACTACTAAGTGAATCCTCAGCTAGACGTAAATGGGTATCCTGGGCTTAAGGAGTAGRACTGTGGCCTGGAGCTTGGGAAATCCAGGCCTTATCATCCAGCCAGGGAAGCAATGCAAATCTGAACCTCTGCTAATGCTTCTGTTCAGGAAAATGTTCTTCTCCTTAAAGCTGTGAGCAATGAAGAGAACTACTCTTTCTCAGAGCTGTATGTTATAACATTTCAGGTTTAAAGGTCTTTTAAAAATACTTTCTGAGATGTTGTCTTTTATTCCCATCTARGAGGCTCAGCTGATCATACTGACACAGGGATATCAGTCAGTCAGCTGGGTGACAAGCGAGGGCATAGCTTTGTGTTCCCCCAAAATGGAACATAGTGCTTAATGCTATGTTCTCTGTCTAAAAATAAGTAGCTGTATGCTGACAGTAGTAGGGCGAGAAACAAGTACATAAGAGATAATGTCACCCTGCAGCTTCATACTCTTTTAACAATGGAACAGATTCTTAGAAAATAATCTGGGAAGACTTTGTACTTTAAACCTATTCTTTTACTCCCCACCCTACAGACCTTCCCACTCTCCCAGATGAATTCACCATGAGATGTCCCTTTTACATATCASTAGTGTCTGACTCTGGGCGAAGCTGAGCGTCTGTTCTTGCTGAAATGAGAGTTGCAGGTTATTGGCACTGCTAAGAGCTGCCACCAGTGGCCTCATTGTACTTGCAAATCTCATCCTTCTGAATTGATGTAGGCAGCAAAGCAGTTTTTCTCCTACTGCCTGCACTGTCAAATGTTTTTCTCCTACTGCCTGAAAACAAGTCAAATGAATTTTATAGACTTAATCCTCTCTAAGAAGGATATTAGGCATGATTAATCATTTAAGTGCTATATTGTTATGTTACTTAAGATGGAGTAATTGAACATGGATGGATAAAATGGCTGTCACTTTATATTTGTGAATGATGTTTATTGAGCAGTAGACTTGTACTGAGACAGGCTGGCTTGCAAGTGGGGCAATGACATGTAAGGTATGCAGTAATTATTGTTATATTCAAAGAGTTAAAACACTATCTGAAGCGGTGTAGTTGCTTAGTACTGATGTGTTCATTCTGCTTATCCACTCTGTTCTCTTCCCTAATAGAGGAGGAGGTTGTTGTTAATGTTGCCTGGGTGCCAAATCAAAGCCTGAAGCTAAAGGAGACTATTTAAACAAGCAACAACAGCAGAAAGATAATATTAAAAAGCTATTTTGGCTTTGCTTTAGTGAGTAGGAAATTGAAATTTGACCATGATGGCAATACAGCAAGGGGAAATTCTGAGCRCTAGTAGGAAAAATAAATGACATTTTGAGCTGATCTGTGTTCTTGCTCTGATGCAAGCAACRCAGAGCCTTCTGAAAGCTCTTCTAGTATTGTCAATCCGTATCACTAGAGGAAGAGGAAGCAGGCTTTTCTCATATTTCTTGGGTTCTCTCCTTTTACTTGTGTTTTAATTACTTTCTGTCCCTTTTTCACTCCCAAACATACAGATGTCAACCTCTCTCTGTGACTGTTTCTCTCAGGGGATCTGTGTTCATCCTGTATTCCTGGTCACTTGATTACCTATGGGTTTTCAGTGCTTGACAATAAAGAAGTGTTGGTTGGAAGGGGAGTCCCTCTTATCTTTTGTTCCTTTATTCTGAAAGTCAGCAAAAGAGATTGCTGTGTCGAACAGCAGGCACCCTGCCACTGTGATCTGAACAGGTGTTGTTCAGGATTCATTGTCATCAGGAGAAGGAAGTATACCTGTGTTGACTGAAATCAAGGCATTTAGCAAGTTCATTTGAAACGGATTTCATATCCTTCATTAAGAATCTCTCTGATAATAGTTGTGATAAAATTTCAACTTTGAGAGAAAAGATTTGTTACATCTCAAAGTCAAGTCTTTCACAATGCTGAAAGATATAAATCAATGTYGATGTTAATGTCAATTAATGTCAGGTGGTGTGTTCTTAATGAAAAAAAGGCAATATCTTCTTGTATCACCCCTCTTTTAACTATGAGTGAATAGAGAGGCTTTATTTTTCTGCCAAAATGCAAATGTCTAGCTTCAGAGATGGGTTGTGAATCATGGGATTTTAATGTAACTATCCTTTTTCTTCTGAAAGCTTTGAATTTTTATTCATTGACCATTTGAAATTCTTCTCCTTTCCTACATTGGAGCTCAGAATAGTTTCCTGCAAGAAGGGAATGAAGTTTTACCAGGGCAGCTTCTAAGAAGGCTCTAAAACATTGCAGTCTAAGTGAGGGGTGGGGGAAAAAACTATTCTGTTGGTG